TTGTTCAAAGCCTACTTTGACAACGATATGCAATTGAATATTTTTTTAAAGATTTGCAATTGAATGTTTTTCATAAACAATTTTTCGGCATAAAGTTTATTTCAAATTTTTATTTTTTGATCCGAACAGGGTTTGTCCAAGCAAGTGGTTAGCAATGGAAGAAGATGTGACAAGTGAACAGCAGCAAAATGGTGATGGAGATGGAGAAGCACGTAGGCGGTTTAGATTTGTAAATTTAGTTGATGTTCGTCAGGTACCCATTGTGCCAGTGTCATCAAGATTTCGTCGATTGAGATTGGCACAACGTAGAGATGTAAATCAACGAGCTCCACAACCACCGGCTCAAGCATTGCCATCATCGTCCAGCAGTGATGAAGAACAAATTAATTTCGAAAATGATGTGCCAACAATAGAGATATCAGATGACGAACAATTGCAAGAACCAGTTCCAAGTCCGATCAGTTTATCGGATAGCGATGACAGTGATAGTGAATCGATAAATGATGAACCAGTTCCAAGTCCAATCAGTTTGTCGGATAGCGATGACAGTGAAAGCGAACCGAAAGCCAAACGGACTCGGCTTACAACAACCGAAGTGGTGGTGGTACCAGCAAGACGTTCAACACGATCACAAACAATTGCACATCCAATTGCATCAACATCATCTCGTGCACGTTCACCACCGATAGCTCAGCAACAACAACGACAGCCACAAACAGCACTTGTCCATACGAAAATAAACCGTCGCAAGGGAGAGGTAATTCCTGCAAATAAGGAACAATTTACCGTGAAGATGACGTTAAACCAGTTTCTGAGGGAGAACGAACATGACAAAGGCCGTGTGGGTAAGAAAGAAAAACGTGAAGCATTGAAAAATGAATTGATTGCTCAAAGCCGTGTCAGAGATCAGTATAATGTCGAACCAATCTCTCGAAAAGTTCAATTAATCAAACATTTTGAAGAGGTGGTGTGTAAATTATCTGACGTAACACGGTTAGCTTCATACTATTGCCACAGCCAGTTAAATAAATTAGTCGATTCGCAAGACAATGAGGCAATACTTCAAGAGTTTTTGTACCCATTCGATGCACGAAAATATTTTTATCCGCTTAGAACAAGTCGCCAAACAGTCGACAATGAGCGTTATCCATTGGATGACGATTTTGCGTTAAAACTGACAGCTGAAGGCATCGAAGTTCGGCCAAAAATTGAGAACGTCAGTCAATTAATGAAATTTTTGTATCAGTTGTATGAGCAAAATATGTTTAAAAATGTTGATATGCATGCACATGACCACATAAAGAAAGATTTCTTCAAGCATATAACCGACGATCAAAACGCAATCAACGTCACCATGAGTTACTTGCAGTCTGAGAATTCAAGATGCAGACCAAACTTTCGACTGTTGGACATATATTTGAGAGAGTTGAAGCCATTGATTCCACAAGAACGAATCCAGGAATACAACGAGCGTCGTGGCCGTGTCCGTGGTCGTGCCCGTGGTCGTGGTCGTAATCTCAATAATGAACATGCCATTCCTCGTGGTTGGCTAAAAACGACCGGCTACGAGAAGAAATATTACAAACATGTGTACGAATTATTGAATCTTCAACGATGGATTCATAAACACAATGTTGCTCATCCGGAATCGCAATGGGGTTCATTTCGAGCTGTGCCCCAATCACACGATAAACGCCATCATCTGAAATTCGATACACGAGCATTCATTCAATTGACTAATCTACTGTACCCCAAAAGTTCAGGTGAGAGAATCAACAACGATGTCACAGGAGACTGGGAGGATCAAGATTACTACAATTTTTGGAATCGGTATGCCAATCTGCCGAAAGTCAATCGCCGTAGTCAGAAATTCGACTATTGCATTACAACAGATGGCGTCGTAGTATGCTTGAAGATGATCCGATACAAACGCCAAGTCGATGAGTCGAATGTGCCAAATGAAGTCGGCTCGAATAGAAATGAAAGAGACTTAAGTGATGTGATTCCGGACGATGTGCAAGCAGCTTTCGATGCCAACAAAATCGAAAAGATAATTGGCAACGATCCCGGCGAAAAAGTGATGATTGCGGCCACTCGTCTTAATATTGCGGCTGAAGAAGAAGTGAGCTATCGTCTGACATCAAAACAATGGCATTGGCAAGTGGGTACCGTAAAACGCAAGAAAATGATGAAGAAATTCACCGGCAAGTTTGAAGCCGAGTGCAGACGTCTACGTGAAAATCGTGAAGAATATCCGGAGACGCCATCGATGAAAAGCCGAGATCACGAGACGTATCTCGCATACAAGTTGAGAGTCTTCGAAGAATCTGGTCAAGTCAAGTACAAACGGCGTGTTGTGCGATTGAGGTTTGACAAGTATGTGCAAACACAAGTGACGGCTCATGAAATTTGTCGTGAAATGACTGGTCTGCAACAGGAAATTCCGAATAGAGAAGATCGCAAAATCATTTATGCACTTGGAAATGCCAAACTGGCCGCAAACTCACCGATAAAAGGTCATTTGCGTTCACCTAAACCAGCAGTCACCAAAACAATGAACCGCTATGTTTTGACGATGGGTGTCAAAGAGCCAGGCACTTCAATTTTCTGCAGTAAGTGCCGTGATATGACGGAAAGAGCGAAGGAAGTTGCCCGGCGAAAGGGACACATTGAGAACTATAATAAAAAGGATCGGTAAGTTGTTTTGTTTTTGAATGTTTTTTTTTCGTTTTCCTCTTTTGTTATTCAAGAAAAAATTTATCTTAATTACATTGTTAATTTTGTATCATTAGTTTCGTAGTTTGCCACAACTGTCCAACGGCCCCAAATGTTGTTCTCAAAACTCCTAAGAAATGGACGATGAAAGTGCATCACAGTCGACGAAAGAAAATGGGTGCTGAACCAAGACCAAAGACAATCGACTATGAGCCCGAATTCCAAAAATCGACTGAGAGATTTATTTAACAGCAACTGTTGTTGTTGATATTGAGATAAAGATGCTTAGTATCTTATTTGATGACATCAGACAG